CCATGACCTAATTGTCGATCATCATTTAATCCATTGATATACTCTCACGACCAGTCATTAAATCGTTAACCAGATTACGCTCCGCACGTGCCTTGTGTGTTCTGATTTTCTCTGCTGAGTTACGGGCCCTAAATTACGGTGCATAGCGTCGCGGTTGGAATTCGGCCTAAAAAATATTGGTGACGAGAATAAAACCCAAGTATGCTGTATTTACCTTCACCATTGTGGTGCTCAGTCACGGAAAAAAAACAATCAATATCTATATGGAACCGATGGAAACGGACTTTCATGGGCAAAATGGATTGGACGAGTATTAATCAGTGTCTGTCATGAACAGCTGTGTCACGTGACTGGACAATCAATGGGAACTGATAAACGACTGCGTACGTAACATCCATCCGGTTCTTAGATAGCGTGATACGTTGTTACCCCATAGCGATCAACTGGTTTAGGGATGCATTGGGACCTGCGTAGAGCGGGCTCTGTTGGTTGGTAGTTTGTGAAGGGGCACTTGAAGAACTAGTCGGTTGCTCGGTTCTGAGTGGATTATCGTCGATTTCAGAATTTTCAGTCACGCGAGGTGGAACATGTTCGGAATGTCGGCAAACAATTTGCCTACCGCCGAGCTTCAGAGTGGTGGTGTTACCAGTAGATGAAACGATTGTAGCTGGATGCCATGTGGACTCATGTGGGAGTCTTGTATAAACCGGATCGGACTCATAATACAAGCGATCTTCAGTTCCAGATGATTGTGCGTTTAACTTTTCTTGCTGTCTTCCTATTCTTGCTATGGGGGAAAGGAACATTAGTTGTAACCTTGTTCGGAGGGTACGACCAAACATCAATTCAGCTGGGGATCGCCCGGTGGTTTCTGTAGGAGTTGTTCGGTAAGCAAAAAGTATTTGGTTCAGTTTAGTCTGCCGGGTTCCCGCACTCTGTTTGAGAATGCCTTGTTTGACCGTCTGCACTGCTCGTTCCGCCAAACGGTTCGATGCCGGGTTGTAAAGAGCTGACCGCATATGCTGGTTTCCATTGCTGCGGAGAAACCTGTGAACCTCTTCACTGGTAAACGGTGTTCCATTGTCTGTGCAAATTGTTTCTGGAATACTGGATAATGCAAACGAAGAATGCATGTTGGAAACCGTAGCCTCTTCCGTAGCATGACTAAATTATTGAACTTCTATTCACTTTGAGTAAGCATCGACCATGACTAGGCACATTACTCCGTTTATAGGGCCAAAATAAACTGCATGTATCCTCTGCCACGGTTTATCTGACCAACTCCACGAATGAATAAGACCCGGAGGGTTTTGACGTTGGTGCTTCTCGCATACATCACACTTCCGTAATGAATTAACATACCTTGATCACTCCGTGGCCACCAACAATATCCTCTTGCTAGAGCTTTCATTCAGGTAACACCAGGGTGAGCATCATGCAGTTCACGCAACAGTTGTGGTCGTGCCCTTCGAGGTATGGCTATACGGCTTCCCTAGAAAATACAACCGTCGTGTAAGCTGAGTTCATTTTCACGTTGGAGAAAGGATCGTAGCTCAGTAGGAAGCTCGCTTGGCCATCCCCAGAGTATAAATCGTTTTACCATAGATAGAGATGGATCGCTGTTTGTCATTCGCTGAATATCCTTCCTATTAATGGGGGTGATATCCAGGTGTTGCATGAGATTAATCAACTTACTTAGTCGGTAATGGAAGGTGACTCAGTGCGTCCGGCGTTATGTTACTGAACCGTGTCATATAGTGCAATTCGTACTTGTAAGCACTTAACAGAAGTGTTCATCTCTGCAATCTTGGAGAGTAAAACTGCTGGATTTCCTTCGATTCGTCCAGTCTGGCTAACAGGGTTTATGGTCGGTGCATGTTTTTGAACGGGCGGTGCCATATTTACGAATGGAAACGTTTTACGGCGGAAACCACAGTCAAGTCTTCTCTGTCCAATCGAGAGTAATTCTTTTCTGCAGTTTTTAGTGTTCTTGATAAAAAAGCTGTAGGTTTTATTAAATTGTCTTCCATACAATAGCATAACACGGCACCAACGTCGGATGGAGATGCATCATATTGAATCAAAATTGGTTTGTTTGGGTCAAAATGTGCCAAAAATGACGATGATCCTAACAAGAGTGTGACAGCAGTGGGTGTACTTTTCAGTGAATGGTCTCAGAACCGATGGTTGATCCTATTGTAGTAAAACGTATAACGGTTCCAGCGTTTGATAAATATTAGAGAGGAATCGCCGGTAATGGGAGAGCATGCCAAGGAAAGAACGAAGTTCTATTACGTTTGGAGGTTCCGTAGCATCCAATATGGGTTTAGCTTTATCCTCTATGATATGGAGTCCATTTTTATCAAGACTATCACTAGGATAACTAACAGAATCGTAGATAAACTCACATTTGGATCGTTTCAGTTTGAGGCCGTGTTCCTGTAAACGCTCCAGAACAGTGAATAGTGTCTGTAAATGTTCCTCGTCTGTACCACCAGAGATACGAAGTTGTCCAGATATATGCACTGGTAAATGGAGTATCTTTGATTCAGTTATCGATGGTTCTTTGAAAAGTTTCTGGCACAGAAGTAATTCCAAAGGGTGAACGAGAGTACTCTAATGGACCAATGTAAGTTGTGGTTGTTGTTGGGGCACGAGAGTATTCGCCTAATTCAATTTGGGAATATGCATGGTTCAAATCAATTTTGGTAAACTTTTGGCCACCCGCTAATGTTGCATATAAATTCTTCACACGTGGTAGTGGATATCTCTCCAAGGCGGCAAAACTGTTCATAGTAAGCTTATACTCACCGCAATTTCGAACGGAACCATCTGGTTTGCTCACGGGGACTATCGGTACTGGACTGGTATAATTATTTCTTCCTTCTGCACGATCTTCAATTCTTCTTCTGTGTGCTCAGAAATAATTTTCGCAAGCACTCAAGCTCCCATGACCGGATTGTCCACAAGTGACTTGTCATGCAACATCGTAACAAGTGATGATTGGGGACCATTTGTGAAACAAACTCTTGAATGCGTTAATTACTTTCCCAATATTTTTTCATTAGAAATCATTCTCTGATACTATTGTGAAATTTATTGTGTTGTAATGGAATGATTAAGACATACTGAAAATGAGCTTCTTTGCCAATTTGTGTTTTTCTTCTTCTACCTTCGATCTGAGTGCGTACGGCAAGGAGCGTGATCTGATGAAACGTGGACTGGCAACCAATCAATCCGGGGTTAAATTCTTGACATCCAATGGTTTGAAAGATTGGCGTTCGAGTTAACCACTGTGCCGCTCTGATTAACACAAGATTGCATTTTACCTCCAACTTGTCATCGTGTCACATATACGCCACTGGATAGACCACTATATCCTGCCATGATTTAAGAAATCGATGAACTTTATTCGCCATCAAGTTAACAATAAAGCTACTCAGCTCCTTGATTACGAAACACCCTTAGAAAGCAGGATTGTGCGACTTCAGTCCACTGATTTCAGGTATTCACAACATTAGGAAAATGATAAGATAATGAAAATTACCGGGAATCTGATCATTCAAAATCAGTAACCCGATGAATGCAGATAGTTTGAATGCCTGACGGCAACTCGTTTATTTTTTTCCCTTTCCCATCATTCATAGTGATCTTTCTTTCGTCTTACTCCTTGTACTTACCTGACTATAAAAATCACTTTGCTGTAGTTGAACGGTGTGTATGTGCATTGAAATAATCATGGATACCTTGTGCAAATCCATGCTTGTGACGTGCCAATGCAAACCTATGACCGAAAACCAGACTTATGGTTATAGTCAGATGACTTGGATTGGATTGGATTGGATGAATCTGGATTGTGTGTAAGTTCTGCATGCAGTAAGGCATTCATTTCAAATGACTGGGTAGGATCGTATCATTCTATTGAAAACACGTAGTCAGTGACTTTTTCATAGATATAGTCCTCTTAGGCACCTCGGTTTGAAAAAATTACACTTTTAACCATCGTTGACAGCTAAAAGATCGTGCTGTTAAGTTTCGTCAAGGCATCTTTCATCTACTCCCTCCCCCCCCACATCCGAGTAATTTCGTATCAAGAATCCGGGTGCGTATTTCATTATGTCATAAATTGGGATATTTTGCGAGTGAAAATCGAGGGAGCAACATACTTGAGTTTTCAAATCGAAAAAATGTTTTATGAAAAACGATTTTACGTGTTGATGTTAGTGCATTTTGTGAGCTGGAATTGTTCTTAACAGACGTTTTGTAGCCACGCCAGGCAACATCATCATCAATGCAATTTTCAGCTCGGATAGCACAAAAACACCAACATCCGCCTCGTGAGGTACAATCATTCCTCATTATTCATAAATACTGATGGAGTTCATGTTGTTCAGAAAGCTATTTTCACACACAGAAACCGATCTGAAGTTTTTGCACAGTTTTCAAAACTCCAGCTCAGTTTAAACTGCACTTGGAAGCAGCTGTCGTTGTTCCTAGAAGTCAACTAATTGTGTATTTGTTCCACCTTTGAGGCATTAGCTTGTACGCAGTAAAACATATTGACCAGGCATAAACTGTGCTGCACACAGAGAT